GTATTTGAGAGTAGTTAAAAGAAGGGTTTATTACCATGTTGTCATATGGTATATGGGTAGTGCTTGTGCCCTTGACATTGAGTTCCTGTTTACACGACTGGGATCATGTCAAGGCTCATCAGTCCTGTCATAGTACAACCCTGCAGGTTTATTGTTACCACAATTGACTAAAGCCAGCTCAAGCTAAACATGTTCATATGGTCATTATTGCTGCCTAGAGCTGATAAAATGCTGTCGTGTAAAAGAGTTTGGACCAAATTTAATGTTATTGAGATACAGAATATGAAATGAAAACAAATTATGGGGTTATCAGACAAAAAAATTTCAATGGAAATGGTAGGATTTGTTTCATTGGTTTCTATGGTGATAGTATTCCATCATTTCTCAAAATTGTTCATGGTGACATTGACCATATATTTTCAAACAAGGTGTCATTCAATTCATTTTATTTACAATAATTATAATCTTTGGGAATTATAGTTTATCTTTGCTTGTGCATAATTTATGTGCATCTGAAATATTAAATTTATGCTTGATCTACAAAGGTCACACATCCTGGTGTTTCGTTGGGATATTGTTCTATAACAGTGAAAATTATACCTCGGTTGTTGCCATGTGTAACTATTATTGAACTTGAATTACAACTAGGAAAATGGTTATGAAAATCATATTTATTGTGAATTTGTATTCCCAGAAGTACCAGGATGTTTGACATTTAGAGACTTGAAATACCAGGATGTTTGACCTTTAGGGAGCCAAAATACCAGGATGTTTGACCTTTAGGGAGCCAAAATACCAGGTTGTTTACCTTAAGGGAGCCAAAATATCAGGATATTTGATGATTAGGAGAGGCGGAAGAGAATAGTTCTTGCATGAGGCTTGGTAAAATATATCAACCTTAATGTGAGATAGACCTTTTACTTGTTGCCTATTGAGGGTATCATATTCTACATATTGTTTCAATAGTAAACTTTTGACAAGCTTCCAACATGGCCACAAATATTGCAAATACACACACCTCCATGTAGAGGATGTAATGTTATGCTGAATGTATGAAGGAAGGATTAATGATGGTTTTCAGACAGACAAAAGCACAGCTAAACAACTGTGATAAGCTTTTATATGGTCAACAATTCTTTAGGGGGGTTATGTGGTCTCAGAATGTCAGTATTTATTCGTATCAGGTTTTCTGTTACTTGTCAATATTCACACAAAGTATTAGAATTTCATTACGTTAACCAATCAACATGCATGTTATTCCCACTTTGTTCTGTAACACAGTACCTGATTGGCAGAGAAACATCTGCCCAATCAAAACAATATATTGTAACATTTCTAGTTGATATTTTGGTGATTCGAAGGTTTTTGTCTTGTTTTTAAAAAGGGGGGGGTAAAATTGTACAATTACAGTATGATTTAGAAAATATTTATTTATGATTAATAGGAAGGTTTTATTGTAAATAAATATACCATGGCATGAAAATGGTTGAAGTGTAGTTAATGTTTTAATTATTCGTATATGTTTAATTCTGAATTGTGACTAGAGAGAGACTCCTGTGATTTTGGTTGTATGTAGACCATTATTCACACCAGTCAGCAATGCTTTGTAAATTAGAATACTTCAAATATGTGGTGTGATCAATCCTTATAACTTCTTGTAGTTATCTTAAGGGAGGGTGGTCAAGGGAAAAAATTCCTCTGTCTGGCTTGCATGTTGCTCTCTTTTTGCTAATCTTAGTTGAATAGTTATGGTTATCTAGTCTTCTTTTTATTTGATTAATATTAAATAAATAAACCAAAAAAATAGTAAAAATTCAACTGAAATAGTCAGGTTCATTTTTTAAAGGTATAAAGTACCAAATAAAGTAACATGCGATGAAACATACAGTGAAAATCAAAAGTTGGAA